AAAGGGGTAATCATTTTGGATAACCCCGCTTGCTCTCCTTATGCCGGGCACTGGTCACATCTCATCTTGTCATCGCTGTGGAGCGATGAGCAATGAAAAACGCAGAAAGTTGGCATCTGCGGGCTTTCTTTCCGCTCTCACTTCGTTCACAGGCGTCGTTCTTATTTGACTCAAATTCGCCTTCGTTAACCTTTCATCGCCTATCACCGTTCTTCTTCGTTGCTGTCGAAAGCGGCCGTCTCCTTTGTGAAGCGAGAGCGAACAGCGTAATCAAGCATTTTCTATCCTTAAAGCTCCTACGCTCTCGCTTACATGGTCAACCGCCTTTGCCTTGGCTAGTCTTTGTACAATTACCGCACAGCTTTTAGATTTCTATCAGCGATCGGAATACTATGCCAGCTCCGCCTTTCACTTTTACATTTTATGCCCGTGAATGGGGAAACACCAGTATGCTAGCTTAACGATTGGACTCGGAGTGATCTGATCTTCGCTAGACATGCTGGGGTCCTTCCGAAGCGAGAGAGCTTGCTAGATTATGAAACTTAGCTGACGTCCCTTTGCGCTTACACCAAGAAGATAGACCAGTGTAGGTTCGAGAACTTAACAACAGGCAGAATAATATCGTCCCATAGTACCTATACGGGGCGATTCACTTTTTTCAAATCAATAGTAAAGCAAGTTCCATTTGCGCATGTGTATCAGGACATGAGAAAAAGGGACAAAGAAAATGCTTCACTTTTGAATTTCCTCATTCTTTGATTGTAGAATGTGCAACCTCTGCACTGTTCTCACCCATTCGTTACAATATATCAGCTTCCTAAGAAACAAAATTTTTCAAGTATTTTAGCGAGTTTTTACTCTTCTTATCCAAGGCACCCTGCGAGCGCTTTTATAGTACATAATACAACTTGCAATGAAAGACATTGATATACTCCTTTAGCTTCACTTCAATGATATAGTTTGTACAAACATCGCTCTTCTTTTACACAGTGAAACATGCTTAAAATAGTTTACAGATTCCACTTATTCTTATATTCCTGCTGGGATTTGTAATAGCTTTTGTGCTGCTGATTACTTGCATCGTAGTTTTGATATGTAGGTGGCGGTCACCACCTTCGGTATGTATTATTAACAGAGCCACCGCTAATCCTTCATTGTATATTGACTTCCCATTCAGGACCCTCCAGCTAATAGCAAAATCTGGCTGGCAGCATGTCTTCTTACCATATGTGCTGTAGTGACAATAGTCTGCCTTGTGCTCATTGGTACAAGTACCAACGCTATAAGCGATGGTTTGGACTACCTGCCCGATCAGTTATCAAAATCAGCGACAGGTGTGTGTTATTCGAAAATTCCCACTGTCGCAGAAACCGGTAAAATAAGCAAACACAAACATCGGTGCTTCTAAAATGTTGGTCAAAAGGAAAGATCACTAGAGCCATTTTTGACTTGGTAAAAATTCTAAATCAAGGCTTAGAATGAGATTCTCTGCTACCGCACAACTACTTGTCTCATAATTTTTATACATCTTGTACTGCTGAACCAACTATCCTTATCAAAATTTGACATAGCTTTGACATAGCCCACGATGCTAGCGCTGCTCAGAATTTATAGAGGGAACAGCATTTTTTGGCGACGATTACGGTAGTCAAGCGTCGTAGTTTTACCTGTTTTCTTGTCCCC